AAACAAACAAACAAACAAACAAACAAACAAACAAACAAACAAACAAACAAACAAACAAACAAACAAACAAACAAACAAACAAACAAACAAACAAAACAAAGCATAATCACCAGCCAAGTAGTACTGACTTCTCACGATGTGGGGGGTGTACCGAAAGGTAGCCTGGATGGCGCCAGGAGCCCTCCCAGAGAATGGGCCATGCTTAGGAAAACGACAAAGCAGTTTATCTGGAAGAGTGGCAGCTGGCCAAAAAAGGGCTACTGATCCGCCAACTAGTACTGACTTCAGCCGGACCGTGGCCACATGCGACTTCAACAGAATCAGCCAGCCAGGACTTCGCGGCTGGTACTAGCTGCAGCGAGCAGGTGAGATGCCAACGGATGCAACTAGCGTTGACGACTTATCGGGCAGGTAGATAAGCGAACAACACAGCCAGCTGACACGTCAAAGGTAACAGCGAAGGGTAAGGAGAACCATCAAGTTAGTAGGGACTGAGTCTCTGTTTGAGACGGGATTGGAAACTATGCTCAGATGACAACGGGATCAAGCCTACACCTATCTACATCTATCTACATCTATCTACATCTATCTACATCTATCTACATCTATCTACATACGGACGCCAGTGTGACAACGGGATTCAGAGTTTTCGACATCTATCTACATCTACATCTACATCTACATCTACATCTACATCTATCTACATCTACATCTACATCTATCTACATACTACTAAGGGAAAAGCCGGGTCTCGCGTGACACCAGCGTGAGACTCGGTTTCCGGGTTTGGGACCCCGGGTGCGGGCCCAGGCAGGGAAAGAAAAAAAAACTGGTCGTGCCCACTGTCGCTGTCGACGCAGGAACTGACGTGGCGTGCTTTCAACCTCCTCGTGCCCGGGCGCTGTTGCTGTCGCGTTGCGAACTACCGTCGGTTGCTTTGAAGTGGCTCGCGCCCGCCAGTGTGGCTCGCTACTGCTTCGCCTCGCACGCGGCAACACTTGAGACTCGAGAGAGGGAGAGAACTCGCTGGCGCCCACCCGTGCTGCTTGCTGCCACTTCGCCTTGCACCCGGCAACGCTTGAAACATGCTGCCTCTTCGTGTTGCACCCGACAACACTGAAATTGGAGAGAGAGAGAGAGAGAGAGAGAGAGAGAGAGAGAGAGAGAGAGAGAGAGAGAGAGAGAGAGAGAGAGAGAGAGAGAGAGAGAGAGAGA